CGAACCTCACTCCTCTGGTCCCCTCTTGAAGATTACATAGTTTTATTTCTTATCGCTACTCATGTAGTTTCTTCTCTCACACTGTTTGTAACCCTGATTTGTGAGCCAGAGAAACAGGTGACTAGCCCAGGGGAATTGGGAAACTCCTGGGATCTAGTCTCGGGTCTGCAATTCACTCTCTGTGACCTTGAACTAAGTCACCTAACCTCGGTGACTCAGTTTCCACATCTGTGAAATAGGCATAAAATCATTCTATCCTATTTGCAAGTGACTTTTGTATTTAGTCACCAACTGTTGGAGCTCCTTGGAGAGAAAGGCTTAATTGGTAGGTCACCAATATTTCAAAACTAGGAGAGAATTGGGTCAGGAAAGTTACCAACATGGGGGCAACGGGTGTGAAAGGTCCAGGAAACCATGGCGAGGTTTACGCCAGGTATTCCAGAACCCGCTACAACAAATGGCTTCCTACAGCCCTGCTGTGAACTAAGCGGTCAAAAAAAACCCAACACATTTTAAATGCATTTATACTATAAGACAAGCTTTGAAAGATTTTATTACTGTTAAATTAGAGGGATTGTGCCATTCTTGTTCTTTATGAAATAAAATACTGCATTAAATTGTTTTTCTTGAGAAGGTGGCCAAAGCTCTGCTTGTGGAACTGCATCTGCCCTGAGGGCAAGGCCGGCTCTAGGCACCAGCAAAACAAGCTGGTGCTTGGGGCGGCACATTTTTAGGGGCGGCAGGGCCGGCGCCAGAATGCCGCCCCTAAAAATGTGCCCCGGCCGCCCTAGCTCACCTCCGCTGCTGCCGCTCGCGCACCACGGCGCGCAAAACAGCTGATTCGCGCGCCGCTGCTCGCCCTCCCTCCCAGGCTCTCAAACCTGGGAGGGAGGGGTAGACTCTGAGTGGCCGCGGCGTGCGCGCCGCTTCTCGCCCTCCCTCCTAGGCTTGAGAGCCTGGGGGGAGGAGGCAGGGATGGGGGCGGCCAAAATTGTTTCTGCTTGGGGCGGCAAAAATCCTAGAGCCGGCCCTGACTGAGGGGAGAGCTAAACATGGAGACCTGCAAAATATGGCTGTGTGTGCCTCAGGTTGGTTTTCGTTTGGTTAATTTATAGCTTGTTGGGGTTTTGCCATCTGCAGAATTTAATCAGCTGAGATCACTGCATTCAGTGATAACCATTTCCAAGCCCACCAGACCCCAATGGCCGTGAAAGCACTGCACATGCTGCACGATCCCCCCTAAGGCTAAGAGCCACACATCCATGATATTTCAACGTCAGGCAAGTCATTTGGTCTCCTGGGCCTCTGTCAAAGCAGCTGACAAGCCAGGTAAAAACTAAGAGGATGACGAGAACCCGACACTGCATCTGAGCAAACACAGCACCAAAAAGCCCTGCAATAACAAAGTGGGTCGTATGAACAGAAAATACTTATTTACCTTCAAAATATATCCCCTCCCGCCCCGAAAACTATTTGCAGCAGTCTCTCTGGGGAAAGTTTTCAAAAGAATTTAAGTGACTTAGGTGCCCACATCCCATTGACTTCCACTTTTTGTCCACACAAATGGAGTATTACCCATAAGCCACCAGATTTTGGCAACACAAGGCATATCCTGTCGTTATGTGTTTCCAGTACTCTCTCCAATGTGCTAGACGTACAAATGAAAAGGAACACTCCTTCTACCCCAATGTGCTTAACCTCATTCTTTTGCTTACTACCACCATTACTGCACACTCTTTCAAAACAAAGGCGGTTTGTTACCCAAAGCAACAGATCAGCTTGAAAAAAGACGGGAAAAAAATCCTAAAAAAATTAAATCTATCTGGGCTGTTGAGAACAAATTTTAAACATCACCACTTGCTTTGGTGATGTCCTAATACAAATGTCCACAAGATGGCAGAATGCACCATCACTCTTAAGCCTTAATCTTGCCTACTCTTCCCAGTGGGGAGTGGTATAAATATTTCCATTTCAGAACAAAAGGCTGGGAAACTGGGAAAAGGAAAGGAAAACTACCCAGGAAAACTGAGTGCAGACTTTTTTTTTAGTTCATCTTTGTTCTGTTCACTTAGCCTACAATATTGATACTGCCAAAAAAACGCAGATGTCTCTTGTGATATTTTCTGCATAAACTAGAGATGGGTTCTACCAGCAAAACTTATCAAGTCTTGAATATCACAAAAGATTCAGCATGTTCAGATCTCACATTCCATTGTAGAGGCCATTGCAACTGTCAGATACAGATCTCAGTTTGGAGTGTGAATTCCCTCAAACCTGGCTGTGTTTGGAAACAGGGTTTTGATTTAGGGTCCATCTCCAGTGCAGACCCACATAAAAGTAAACCAAAATTTATGAGGCACCTAGGAGGGAGAAAGGGCCTCCCCTTGGCATGCCCGATTAATGCTATCAAGGCTGAGAAAGAGCTCAGAATTCTTAGCCACTTAAAATTTAATGCATCATAGAACCACAGACGAGACCTATTAGTGCATTCAGTGCAGCACTCTTCCCACACAGGTTTTCTCCCCACCACACAGGGAATTGTTAACACACAGGTCCTGGCAGATGAACTGGAAGCAGTAACTGTCCTGTTATAAGGTGCTTATCAACAAGCCACCCACAAGATTTTGAAGAGTTCACACCTGCCTGAGCTGTTTTCCTACCCTCACACCAATGCTTTTTCTAACATGCTTATGCACTATGGGGCTAGATTTGCAAAGGCACTTGGGCGCTGTAACACTCAGTGGCACACTGTCTAGCTTTTAGGCGGCTAGAAAAAAAAAATCACAGGAACAACACTGCAATTCACAGAACCAGAGCTCGGCATCTAGGCTCCCTATACAATGAACGGGGAGAGACAGGCGTCTCAGAACTCAATCCACCAAAGCCAGCACACTTGGCAGACAGCTGCCAAAGCTAGGCAGTGGGAGGCACCAATGAGAGAGATGTGTGCTAAACCCCGCACCTCTCATGGAGTTAGGATCCAATGTTCAGGCAGCAGGGAGGCGCCTCTCTCTGCTAGCGATTCACAAACAGTGGGACAAGGAGGAGGTTGAGGTGGCGGTGCCATCCACCTTGTCACTTTTAGTTCAGTGTTTAGAGCACTCAGCTGTGATGTGGGGGACCCAGGCTCAATTCCCCCCCTCTGCCACTAAGGGAGACAACATTTGAACAGGGATCTCCTGCAGCTCGCAGGAGAGAAATCAATCCACTGGGCTGAACATTATAAGCTGGGCACTATCACCTCTGCATCCAGCCAGACTTTGAAAGGGACCCCATTGGGCAGAAGGCCTCAGAGCACATCTACTAGATTGGGCCCCGAATGCAGAATAGGTGGGCTAATGCCTGTCTTCCAGGTTCATGAGTCACTCTGGGGCTTAAGCAGGGGCTATGTGTTCAGATGCTTAGACTGAGGCAGCAGCGCACATGCTCAGAGGCAGAAACATAGGCGCCGAGGGAACATTTACTCTGAAAATGTAGGTGCTGGGTGAGTTTAGGTGCCCACAGGATTTGGCGGGAGTTTTGTGGATCTCAATGGAGCCTAAAACTGGGACTTGGCCCCTAAACCCAGACTAGATACCTAAGTCTGGGGGTTAGGTGCCGAAGAATCTTTGTGAATCTAGCACTATATTCCTAAGGTTCATTTAAAACCAGAGAGCGATAAACAGCAAATCAGTCATTGCCAGCACTGCATGATTACATTCAAATCCAGTTAACAATGATCCATCAGGCTTACACCAGCTGCCAGTAAGTATTTCACTTGTCAACGATGCACGCAATAAATCCATAGCAATAAATGCACGGCTCTTAGCTTCCATATGCATAGGTGACAATACATGCACATATAAGCAAGTCTTTGAAATACACATCAAATATTCTACTAATCTGCCTACAGGCAAAATTGATACACCAAATTAAACACTTATACAAGGTCTTTTTGATGGGTCTTTGACTGAATAACAATTCAGGTTCCCGAGTAACATGTGGCACAGGTCATGTCTCAAAGTAAGGCTCAATGTAACATACAGGGACTGATTCTCCTCTGACACTGGTATAAATCAGGATTAACGCATTAAAATCAATGGATTTAAACAGGTGTAAGAACAGCGTGAGAGGATAATTAGGGCCATAGTATTCAAAGGCAATGGCTTTGTAGTGGACACATCAGGTGTGAAAGAAGCCAAACTCTCTGGAAAAAGAGGTTTAAACATTGGCAGAGTTTAGGAAGTCCTTCAAGATATTGGAGTACTTTTTGCTCGGTAGCTGAGAACAGAGGATCGCCCACCTCATCACACGCAAGACATTCTAATTCTTCAGTTCTGGAAGCAAGGAAGGGGGTGATTCTCAAGTCTCAGATGTCATCTGACCCAAAGAAGGACCAAACATATTCAGCTTTCGCTGAGTCCAACAGGAACTGCAGGTGTTCAGCTCTCCTTTCGAGTTTGGGACATAGCAAGTGAAGTGTAATTGAGACAGACCAGTAGGCAAACCCAACAGGAATCATTAACCTGAAAGTTTCTCCCCACTTACCACAAAGGTTGCTGTACCAGAGTGTCAAAGACAGTTTAGCCGAAACTATTCTAGTGGAAAGATGTCTGGGGAGAATGGATCCCGGAAAGGAAAGGGCTGGAGAATTTTTTTCAAGACAATAATCCATATATAAACGCTTCACTAAGTATTTCAAGTGACAGTGGTGGAGCGTTGGCCTGCTAAACCCAGGGTTGTGAGTTCAATCCTTGAGGGGGCCACTTAGGGATCTGGGGCAAAATCAGTACTTGGTCCTGCTAGTGAAGGCAGGGGGCTGGACTTGATGACCTTTCAAGGTTCCTTCCAGTTCTAGGAGATAGGATATCTCTATTAATTTAATTTAAACTTTAATTTACATAGCCGGCTAGATCTCTAACCATGCGGGGTACAGCACAAGAGAAGGGGCCATCTTCATCAGCAATACGAACAAATGGGAACCAGCAATATATCAGCAATGCGGTGCCACCAAAACATACCTGCCAGACGGGAAGGACTTTCTCTATGTCATTCAGGTTGATTCCGTCTCCATCCTCGTGCTTCCCTTTTCCGAGCCTGAGCCAGGAACAACAACAATAAAAAGAAAAAGAGCACGTGAAACCAAAGTTAACGTTTCTCACCCACCACAGAAGGCGATGTATATATATAGGGACGTATATTTCTACCTCTACATGGAAAAAAAAAAGAATGGGGAGGATCTCTGGGCCAAATAACCTGTGCCTCCAAAACATCCACATGCAGACAGGTAACCATCCATGCCAAACATATAACTGCCTCTCCCAGATCTGTTTGCACCAATGACTATTTGCTTCTGTGTGCATGAACATTTTTTGCATGAGGAACTTTGGCACAACTGTCTTTATCCCTCATGTTTCCCTGCGTACTGCTAATTCTCAGCACTCATCCCTGGTTCAAGCATAGGTCAGTGTCAGATTTATAGAGGATTTTTTTAAAATAAAAAGGACAGAAGGGGAAAGAAGGTTAAAAGAAGAGCCTGGAAAGCTGCAGAGTTTGAGCACAAATGGGAGATTCACACATGCAACACCTTTATCTCTCCCTGAATGTTAACTGTCCATCTTCTACAGAAATCTAAGCCAATGTGGTTTTTCAAAACACACCACCATTTATCGGACTATTTTCCTGTTTGCAATTCCGGCTTAATGCAACACCCCAAATGCAGCCATTGCACTGGGATTGCTAAAGGGGTGGTGAGAAAAACAAAACAAAAACAAAACCTAAGCCTGGACCCACAGATCCAAATCTAAACAATTCTATTTAACTGTTGTTTATTCACTTGAAAGGGTTTTATTAATTGTAACCCACAGCAGGAAAGAAAGAGGGCCTCTGTCCCCCTCTAGTGGCTGCTCCATGTAAGAAGGTAAGGAGTCAACACAACTAGGAGACTTAGGGCCAGATCCTCAAAGGTATTTAGATGCCTAACTTCCATTGATTTCACCGGGAGTTAGGTGCCTAAATAGCTTTGAGGATTTGGGCCTTAGTCTTTCAGCTTCAGGCAATGGAGACTCATGCTTGGAACCTCTCACACTAAGGGTACATCTACACTGCAATCTGGGGTGTGACTGCAGCTCGTGTAGACATACTCAAGCCAGCTTTGATACTGGAGCAGTGACATTGCACCAGCACAGGCTTCAGCATGGGCTGCACAAACCTACCCGGAACTGTGGGTCATTGCTCGGGCGGCTAGTCTGTGCTGACAGCTAGCCCCGTGACTGCAGGGCAGACATATCTTAAGAACATAGGCCGCTGTCCCTGGAGCTAAAGGGCCAAAGCTCCGATCCTGCAACTGATGGCATACGGGCAGATGGCTGTTCCTTTGTTGAGCTGAACTGAAGTCAATGCAGCTCTGTGGGGCACAGCAGTCCATTCATGCGCTATTAGCTACACAGAACAGAGACCCAAGTACCACGGCTGTGGCTGAGTCCTAGACTTCTTATGTGGGAGAGCCACAAGGGGAGGACAAAAGACTCATTCTCTACTAGCATTATTTAACTATTTTGTGCATAAGATATCCTTGGAGGGATTTGCTGAAGAGAAAAGAGAAACCTGCTCTACTGGTTAACAGCATTGCTCAAATACATTAAGAAAACACTATTTTCCTATTCTATACTGACTGTCTCATAGATGCACTTCCTGTGGGAGGAAGTTACATTTCATGCAGCTTACATCACAGAATCTAGGCTTTTTAAATACATGTTATATCCTAATTTGTCTGCAATTATAAGGCACTGAAGCCAATGGCAAAGCTCTCATCAGCTTCAATGATAGGGGATCATAGAATATCAGGGTTGGAAGGGACCTCAGGAGGTCATCTAGTCCAACCCCCTGCTCAAAGCAGGACCAATCCCCAGACAGATTTTTGCCCCAGATCCCTAAGTGGCCCCCTCAAGGATGGAGCTCACAACCCTGGGTTTAGCAGACCACTGCTCAAACCACTGAGCTATCCCTTCCCAATAGGATAGACCTAGGAAGACCACATCATATTGTGTAAATAAGTCCGATGCCCAGCAATTTTCATCCCTGCCTTCCTGTTCGAGTTATAGGGATGTATATTTTTATTAAGGTTTATATGTATAATAAAACTAAAGTGAGGTGCTTTCCGTTATTGGATTTTAAAATATGTTTACAAATATTTAATGTATGTTCAATGGGGCCAGTGATCATGACTGATCACAGTTAGTACAGATAAACAAAGGACAGTCCCAACCAGTAATATATATACTGTGTGCTTCAAAAAGGCTAATTTCCCAAAGCTGAGGAAAATTATGAGCAAAAACTGAGAGGAAAAAGTTAGACAAATGTGAATGAAAATTCTGAGTTCTTTAAGAAAAATTCATTAGATGGACCAAAAATAAACTATGATTCCACAATTGAGGAAGAGGACAACTGTGGGTTAAAGCCTATCTGAGTTCAGTGGGGAAGTGAT